TGTTTGAAGAATACACATTTTTAAATTATTTTTTCGAATTTTATTTTACAAAAAGTTATAAATGTTAAACAAATTATGACTAATTTAATACTGAATTTTTAATTTTAGTAAAATTACAATTGTGCAGCCAAGGAATATTATTTAGTATTTTGTATTATTTAGTTAATAATCATTAAATTATTTTGTTAAATACACAATTATTTTTATAAAGTATATTAGCTTATTCTAAAAATCTTAATGTTATCTGACTTTATTCAGGTGACGTTTAAGCATTGTGTTATTTATGTAATTAATAAATATTTCTCTAAGGCTGATTATTAGAAGAGACATAAAAATTTAAGAGTAAATTTTTTCTAAAATATTTTACATTCTCTAATTAATTGTATAGTTGTCTACTATTATTTCTATTCTTAGTAAAATAAACTAAATATTCTCATTAATAAATTAAGAAAATTATTAATAGAATTTTATAGTAATTACATAAGAATGATGGAAATTCATTAGTTCCAAATTTAACACACAAGATGTAAATTACGATTACTTGAAATTTTAATTTAATTTCATAATATAATATAACTATATTTATTTATATTTTTAGCAAATTCTTTGCATAATAATGAACTTTGAAATTTTTCAGACATAAATGCACGTACTAATAGAATGAGAAGAAAAGAGTATTTTAATATTATTTCAAATTACTCTGTCTTTTTCAAGTGCTCATCATTATCATTAGCGTTATATACCAATCTAATAGTCGTACTTTATTATCAAATTGTATAATTTAAAATTTAAGTACACAATGGTTCAAAAATATTTTTATGACTTGCAAGATTAATTTCATTTTCTATATTTTTTGCAAAATGAGTCATTTTTTCTATACAATAAGTATGAAATATTATGAATCTTATTTAAAAATTTTCAACAAATCTACATTGATTAATAGATATAAAAAATACATTATATCCCGAAATTTTCATGACCAAACTAATTTCAGTGTCAATTTTTTAAGAAATATTTAATTTAATTAAGTATTTTTTATTTTATTTTAATCATGTATTTTTATTGCTTAATTTAATTTTTAATATATTGCGTTTACATTTGGTCGTATATTTTGAATCTAGATATTTTTACCAATAACTGGGAATGCTAAAGACCTACTAGTATAATATACATATATATTCTTTGTAAATTAAGTTTTATACCATAATTAATTTAAATGATCATTATAATATTTTATGTTTGTTTTAATAATACTTTGATATCAGATAAGTTATTCATCTTCAAACTCTTAAATGATGGAGAAAAATTTAAATAAAATCCATCTAAAGATTTAGTAAAAATCTTATTAAATCTAAATTTTAGATTTCCTTGTAAGTTCACTTTTTCTTTTAAAATCACAATTTTATAGTTTTTAAAACTGAGTAAGGGACACACAATTAGTGGCAGGATCAATTGATCTATATATAAAAAGTTTTTTTTCGGAAAATGAATAAAAAAGATTCTATACACCCACAAGAAGACATTAGCAGCTCTATATTTGTATACTCGTTTTGATAATTTATCAATAGTTACGCAAATAGACTTTTTTTTTTGTAGTATTGGTTTGAATAAACAGATTAATTTGAAGTAATATAAATGTTAAACACAACTACTTGAATTAAAGATAATATGCATTGAAGCTTTTGATTTGATATAAAATATAGACAAAAAATTCAATTTTAATAACAATTTGTACATATTTCATAAAAATATTATAAAAATTGCAATAAAAGATGTTAAATAAGATAATTTTTTTTTTCTATCGCAAAAAAAATATAAAGATCATTAAAGTAACAAATCTATAGCGATTTATCTTATTAAAACCTCACATAATTACATCATAACTAAATGATACAAAATAAAATACAGACAGTGTATCCGCTACTAGCGATAGATGAATTGACAATAAAAAATAATTATTGCAAAATTAGCAATCATCCTAAAACTATTTAAACTAATAGAATCTGACCATCAGGGTCAGTCGACTATAATACGTAGCTTTATGTTTTGTGTCAATCATCAGTCTCAGTACTCGGTTGTCGCTGTCTCGGTTATTACTCTATAAAGTCAATTCTTTGTTAATTTCTTTTGACGTCTTTTCGGTGACTGCTGTACTATCCCACTTACATAAATATCTAAACAAAGTCATCATTATCTTCATATCTTCAACTCTCTTTTCACTTCCTTTGTCGTGCTTTATATTATGACACAGTATAATCTATTTATAATTCTAAACTCGTAAAAAAGAGCTTTAGTAATCCAGTGGTGCCGGAACCAGGGGGGTCAGTTGCCCCCTTTGTTAAAATACAAGAGAACAAAAGTATAATGCCCTCCCATAGAATCTGACAATAAAAAATTACAATGAATCTGGAAATTAATAAAACACTACCATACTTAATTATTTAGCTATTCAGGTTTTAGGATTAAAAAGCGTTAATGAATTTTACCAAACTTCAGTTGAATATCAAAAAACGGTAATACAATGAAGTCGTGGGACAGTATGGACGTGGCATAGTTGGGACAAGTATAGATATTTGACATTGATTAAAATTACTATCATAGGAAACGCTTCGATACAAATCTGTAGATACTGTTCTATTTTAAGAAATTTATTCCAAAAGCAAAATTAATTCCTATTTTATGATCAACTTTGCACATAGAATATAGGTTGTTGGTACAATTTTTTTTTTTAACTTATAGTACATAAAATAAGTTTTATTTCAATATATATTTAAAAAACACAGATTTTCAAAAGTTAAGTCAAAAAAGTTCTACTTTTTATACAAGTTTTCAAAGAAAAAATTTCTTAACTTTGAAGAGGCAAAATTATCAAAATTATAAATTTTTAATTAATATAAGGTAGATTCACGTAAATTTTATATTTATTGATGAACTCATTAAATAATTTTTAAATATTTTAAAAATGCAGTATTCCGGAACATTTTTAAAACTTAAGTTGAAAAAGTTCTACTTTTTATACGTATGTTTCAAGTTTTGAACGTCCCAAGGGGCGTATACAAATATACGGGGAAATTGTCCGATTTTAACAAAAAGTATGTTGAATAAAATGCGTATATTAATGTATTTAGAAACGAAAATTTGTGTTGATCAAAACATTTTTCAAAAAATTATAGCAATATAAACTTGAAAATTTAAAATTGACAATCGAAAATTTTAACACAAAAATAGTATTTTTTAACTACGACAGCCGTTTGCACGTAGAAGATAAGTTGTTGGGACAAATTTTTTTTTTTTATTTATAGTATGTGACATAAGCTTAAATTTGACATATGTTTTAAGGACACAGTATTTCCGGAATATTTTCAAAAGTTAAGTTGAAAAAGTTGACTCTTGTAAAAAAATAGTAAAATTAATATCTTCTCAGCTTCGCATCGAAGCTAATATTGTATATTATTAAGAGTAAAATTTATAAATTACCGAATTTTTTTTATATGATCACTAAAATCTACCAAAAAATAGCTTAACCCACTTTTAAACTTAGTCACAATCAAAGGGATTGAGTTTTAGTTATTAAATTTTTGCCCTCTCCCCCTCCCATGTAAAAAATAGTTTCGGCGCCTCTGTTTAATATTATAAAATTATCAAATTAATAAATAACTAGTACCCAAATATTTTCAGCAATAATACTTTCAATCAATACTTCCGAATACATATGTATCTTTTATGTATGTCTCATCAAACTAAACTTTTCAAAAAAATCTTTGTAAATTAAACTTTTGAAGCATCTAATAAAATATTTATGTTTATACTTTAAATATAAACCATTTTATGTATATATTTATGAAGTGTTTCATTATTTAAGTGACAAACCTACTATTATAATAGTGTTTTCAATGGTAAGAATTTTATTACTTTAAAAAAGTTTAAATAAAATTTGTTTTAACAGATCTAAACCTTTAATACACTTTCCAAGTAAAACTTTATAGTAATATAAACATGTAATACTAATAGTTGTATAGTGTTTGAAGATATTTAGTAATAGATGAATACATAATGTAATTTATAATGCATTACTCTTCTTGATTTATTCAGGGAATTTTAATTTGATCCCTAAACTGTATTATTGTACGACACTACGAACAATCCGATTTTTATTCTACGTCAGACATCTCAACAGGAATCTTCTAATTTATGCACATGTGTTAAAACTTTCTCAAGGTAAAAGTAAAATATATAAAAGTGTCTTTAACACTAAAAAGCAAATTTTGATGAAGATAATATATTTAAATTTGTTTTTAAGTTTTAACACAAGAGCATAATTATTAATAATCTCAGAAAATCTGATCAATTATTTATGTGGACAAATTTAACTACTATGCAAGTGAATTAATTAACAACATTGAACAATTGTTTTAAAAATATAGACAACATCAATTAACAAATATTAACTACTAATTCCAAAATTACATAATATACATATCATAGAATATTATGAACTCATTTATAGTTTATTTTATTTTATCTTGATGATTTTTTTAGATTGTTAGTTTATGTAAATCGTGTGTAGTTATTAAAACCGGTAGCATGGATTTTTTTATAAATAATTATTAAATTATCAAAACGGGTTTATATAATATTGTGTCATATATTTAGTATATGGGTTTATTTTACGCGAACAATTCTGAGATTTGAGTATGAGCTTTTTTTGATATTTTCATTATTATGAAGTGCGTTTTACAACATCATAAAACGGGTCAAGGTGTTCTTTTTAGAAAAAGATCCACTATACTGATCCGAGTACCAATAGCAATTATTGTTATTATATTTTTTGTTTAGTAAGCCATGTGGTTGTAACAAAAAGCAGAAAAAAAATCAAAATAGTGAATTCTAAAATCGCTTAAATTAATTACACTGTTGTTTTATCCTTCTATATCTTCTGAACATTTACCAAAGTTATTAGTTTTTGAATCGATTTTATTTTTTTTTTTTCGTTTTAGGCAGTTTTAATAATACTATATCATATCGTTATGGTTATAGATATTAGGCTACCAATTGTCCAGTCACGTCGCACATTGCTTAACCAGCTGTATTACCGACGTTATTGCGAATACGGTATCTGATGCACGTTCCATTGGGAGACATTACTGGGACTAGTATATCTGTATATTATTGTGGGTACCAACTAAGTAGTACCGGAGAGTGATTTATCTTTATATAAGAGTACGAGACATTTCAAAACGAGCAGAGTTCAACAAAGCTGGAATAAAACACACTAACATTATCACTGTATAAATGATAATATCTGCATAATGTACCTTTGTTATCAATAATACAACACATAAAAGTGAAACTGAATACCACTTTTTTTTTTATCATTAAACAATAATATATTGCGATTGGAAACGTGACGTTTTATTGAAGTCAAGAATAACTGAACTGTGAAAAGGATACCTTTGGTTGAGAAAACACAACTCGTTAAAAAGAAAAATGATTGAGTTTAGAGATAGTAAAGATATATCTCAGAAATTCTATTTTATACATGAGTTAATTTTTTTTTTTGTAGAAATATATATTTAATCTTATTGAGTATTCATTTTCTTTTATAAATTTTGTCATATAAATATACATTGTATATATAGTATGAAAATCATTATAGTTTAAAATATACTTACTACATTTTTAGCCTTGTTCTAATTATTAAAGTTGAGTTGAAATGTAAAATGTTAAAATGATGTGATATTAAGCTGCAATGGTAATGCGTCACGTCACGTATAATCCTATCACACTTTTTAATCAAAAGTTCTAATAATAAAAATTAGTTTAATTTTTTTTTCAGATTTTCCCTTTTTAAATACATGATATTATTATGTAAATATCAAGAAATCTTTAAGATTTTTAAAAAACTGTTGTTCAACGAAAGTTTCACTACACTATATAGAATTTTTACTAGTTCATCTGTTTATTAGATTAATAAGACAACCAGTATTTTGCTTATGCATTACGACTATAACATCATAATTCATTCCATAACATCATTATAAAAGTATAAATAATAATGATTAATTTATTTTTGTTCTCGTGGGTTTTTTAAATTTTTAGACAACATTACTAATATTTTTTAAATATTTTTACACTAAGCTATAATTCTATTGAATTAATTTCTACGCACTAGTTATTCCATATTATTTTATCTATAGTTTTTTAATTATTAAATAATTTATTACATATTTTGGATTTCTGATCACTACCAAATTTTTATGTTTTATTTTTATATAAGTTAATGTATAATTTTGAAATTTTAAAATTTATTTTAATAAAATAATATTTTAGGTTTGATGCATTGCTTGGAAGTTATTGGTTTTACTCTACAGAAAATTATTTATTGTTTCACTAGATCCGATTATTTCGATCCTACTGAGTTGAGTTTGCTAAAAAGTACGTCACAAGATCACAAAACACATCTAGTTGTAGCTATCAGTGCCATAATTTTAAAAAATTGACCTAAATCGCAGTAATAAAGGGCAATGTACCAAAAAATTAGAGTTGTTGTTTAAAGTATAATTTTGGTATTTTTAGTTATCATTTAATACTAAAATAACTTTTTGGAAACTGAACAAATTATTGCAAAATTTTTATTAACAATACATAAAACATTTAATTTACTATATACTTACTTTTTTTAAAAATCAATCATTAACCAGATATTGTGATGGCTTAAATATCATTTATAATTTTTTTTTTTTCAAATTTTTGATAACCTTGTAAAAAGCTAACCTTTTTAAACCTACATCAAATCAAAGCTAATACAATGTACTTTGAGATTAAAAAAGAAAAACCATTCGAAAGTTCGATTCTAGAACTTATCAGCCATTATGTTAATCATAATATTTTCGGTAAAATTGGCTAATTTTAAAGTGTTTTTCATAGCAACGAAAAAATATATCGTTCAAAAGTAGCTTATTTTAATGTACTATTTGATAAAAAAGGTTTTGTTGACGACTTTTATTCAGTGAGTAATGGGTATCTAAAGTTAAAAATCATGTAATTTTTTAAAAATACACATCGAAGTTTTTTACAACAGTTATTTCTATCATTGTCAAATATTAATCAAAATTAACCTAAAAAATGCCTCCACTTCACTTTTATGAATCCATACTATACATTAGTTTTTTAATTTATATTTAACCACGACCACCAATCTCAAAGAAACAAAAAAAAAAGACAGTTAAATATATTAAATTCGTAAGAAAACAATCGGATAAATCTTGTTTTCTTTTTATTTGTTCCATAAGTTAAGTAACAGCGTGATACCAAGAAAATAAAACCAATAGTTTTTTATTTGATTATCGGTAGTATCATAGAGTATAATAGCCAACGCTACTTTTTTTAAGAAATTCTAAATTATGAGGTTACAACGTACCAGCGAACAACAAAACTTTCCATAGGAAAACTTTAAACTAAAAAGTAAACTCTTATATCATAAAAAATAATGTATTTGTTGAAGGCGGTAAAAACGAATTCAGGTGTACGAAACCTGTATTTGTCGATATTAAAAGTTGCGGAAATGTTAATTAAAGTATAAGCATGAAATTGAAATCTATAAAGTTGAAAAATGTCTAAAAATGAAAATTTTGAATTAATAAGTATTTAAAATAAAATAGTAAATAATTATTTAATTATTTTTATATTTTATATTCAAAACTTCTTTTGTTTTCGAACAAATTTGAAAAAAGAAATTTCATTAAATTATTTTTGCTTCGTTTCATTTAATCTTTTAGCCTCGATAGGAAGCTGAGAAGGTATTAATTTTACCATTATATATTTATTATTATTATTTTTTGTAATGTCATTATTTTTTCTTAGCTCTCACTAAACTGATTTTTTTCAACAATACAACAAAAGATCAAAAATCATATCTAGTTGAAAATATTTCCCTCAAGAATTAAATAATTTTTCTTCGTTCCCTGTAAATTATGAAAATTCCCCAAAAATTGTATTTTTAAGGTTGATAAATTTCGATATTTTTAAACTATTTTTACTTAACTGTCATAACTCTTTCATAAATAGATGAAACAATGTGTTGAAACTTTCATGGATTGTCATATTATTTGAAACAAAACAATTTTTTTTCATATATACTATAGGTATACACCTCATTTTAGGTATATTTCTGAAAATCTGATACCTAACTATCCCATTGGGGAGGATTTAGAATTGCTATATTTTAATGAAATTTTAACCTTTTCAATTTAACTTTTGAAAATATTCCGGAAATACTCCTAGCTTCAAACATATGTTAAATTAAAGTTTATATTACATACTATAAGTTAAAAAAAAATTTAAAAGTAGTCGGGTGGCTAATATAAAAATAATCAACCTGTATACACCAATTTTAAAACTTTTTATAATTTCTCCGTAAAAATTATAATAATAAATTATGGAATATCAATTCAATTCCTACTATATTTAATTTCTATAATAAGTATTTATCCACGTATTATACTTATAAATAATAAAACTTGTAATCAGAATATAAATAAAGAAATAGAAATTCATGTTGCTTTTGTAATAATTCAACAATTTCATTTAATAATCAACAGAATCATTATATTTACATTGAAGCATTTTTTTATGATAGTGATTTTAATCACAGTGAGATATTATCTACAGTTATTTCAATTATATCGCGTCACTACTGCGTTAGGTTTATAATCAATAAAATTATAAAAAATACTTATCGTACTACATTTAATATATTTTTTATTTTATAAACCTACGAAATTTACATTTAAACTACAAATGCTTATATTGTATTATAGCGATGATTAGTCGACGTTAATATTATTTAACTTCGCCGTCAAATTTATTTATATATATTACAATGCATCATAAATTATAATTTGTTGACCATCTGTTTATGAAAACATTTACAATTCACCTTAAGTATTCAAATATGCAAGTTTTTATTGATCGCGCCAAAACTAGAAAATATGCTGATTTCCCGAGAGACATGTGAATATAAAAGGAGTAATGTTTTAGCCAATCTATTTGAGAAAGATTATCTAACTATTCAAACGCATATGGTGCTTGCAGCAGATGGCCAAAATGTTATTCCGTAGTTTCAGATATAAGATTTCACGTTCGTCGAATAAATGAAATTATGACAAAGAAATAATTATTTTTATAATAGATATATGGGCCAATAAAATTTTGTAGAATTGAAAATAGACAAATTAAATATATAATTTTATAATCATCTGACAGAATTTTTAGGCATTGGTTGGTGGCATAGGCCACAACCATTGTCACTGTTTTCATATAGTTTGAGAAATAATGTCTACTATGATTATGATTATATTATGTCACGTTATAAAAAAGGCATTGTCTTTTTTCTTTTAATTATATCTTTATGTTAAACATAGATCAATAAATAAATAGATTAAATAGATAAAAGAAATAACTAACTAGAATAATGAAAATTGAAATATAATTATAAAAAAAATACTTTAAATATTTATTCTATGGTCTTGTAGCCACGTAGGTATCTTTAACATGAGTAAGCTAATCATTTATCCAAACTTACTAACTCCATTAATTAACATCCAACTCTCAATTTTTCTTTAACCAGCTTCATAAGACTATAATTCAAGCATACAAGATTACTGGTCTTTTCTCTGTCCCTCATCACTACCTAGCACAAATCAATCTCGCCAACTATTCCCAAACATCCTTGGCTTACAAACTTCCACTCACCGGGATTCATATAGTATCTTTTTTTTGGTTAAGTCTAGGCCATAATCGTCCCCTTTTCATGCCTACAACATGTCTCTTCACCATATATTTTCTGTCCCAAACTTGACGATAAAGTTCTCTACAACTTTTCCCATTTACTTTTTGACTGTCTTACTTTAGTAATTAACCGTTCCATTTTATTAAATTGTTTACCTTACCTCAGTATCTCTTCAATTAATTGGTCCAATATTCTCAACTCAACGTTCCGCAATGTTAACACACTAATTATTTCCTTCATCCATTCAGATGGTTTTCTAATTTAACTATTTTAATTATATTTATTGTAACACTAATAATGTATTTAGTTTGTATATTTTAATTATTCTCATTACTCGTCTTATTCTTTTTATTATTACTGACTTCATATTATTTATTATAAATACTTTTCATTAAATGTTGAACCATATTAATATTATTTAGTGAAAGCTTTAGAAAAAAATATTTTGATAATTTTGACATATCTACTAGTTTACTTCAGTTACAAATTCTGCTTATTAGCCTATTTGTCTAAATGTATGATGTTAAATTTAAAAAATTAAGAAAAATTTGGATTAAGTCTTCTTCTTCTTCCTCGCCTTAATCCCAACTACTTGGGGTCGGCCACCTTTATCCTAAACTTCCATTTGACAAGATCTCCCACATCATCTACGCTTACATCAGCTGTCCTCAAATCGCATTCAATAGCTTCCCTCCATATCTTTTTTGGTCTTCCTTTACCTCTTCTTCCTTCAACATTCATTTCTATAACTGTTCTTACAGCTTCCAATTTTTCTCTACTCATAACATGACCAAACTATCTAAGTCTATTTTCTTTCATCTTATCCACGATTGACGCTACACCTATACTTCTTCTTATTGCTCGTTCCTTATTCTATCTTTTCTAGTCACTCCACTCATCCATCTAAGCATTCTCATCTCTGCTACACTCATTCTCTGCTCTACTTTCTTATCAACCGCCCAACACTCTGAACCATACATCATAGTTGGCCTTATTACAGTCTTGTAGAAGTCTCATTGGAATTCTTTTATCGCATAAGACGTCAGACTCTTTTCTTCTTTTCAACCACCCGCACTTAATTCTGTATCTTACATTCATCATACATCAATACCACCACTCTTTTGCACAAATGACCCTAAATACTTAAAACTCTCCACCTCTCCAAAAAAAATTTGGATTAAGTAC